AATTTTCGACAACTTTCGACCACAAAGAATGTCGAATTTTGATACCGTTGGAAAGCCCACGATTTCCTCTTCAATTACCACCCAAAATCTCATTATAACTCCAAGGGATTCGATTGAAAAATTGCCTTAAAAGTTGCCCAAAAATTTTGAAAATCTGCCCAGATTTTCAGATTTTTTGGGCGACTTTTAAGGCAATTTTTCGGCAACTTTCGACCATCAAAACTATTGAATTTTGATACCATTGGAAAGCCCACAATGTCCTCTTCAATTACCATCCAAAATTTTCCCATAACTCCAAAGGATTCGGTCGGAATAAACCCACAAAATTAGCATCTTGAAAAGACGAAAATCTGGACAAAGTTCGGGATGCTGAATTTGTGAGTTTATTCCGACCGAATCCTTTGGAGTTATCGAGAAATTTTGGGTGGTAATTGAAGAAGACGTTGTGGGCTTTCCAATGGTATCAAAATTAGATAGTTTTGATGGTCGAAAGTTGCCGAAAAATTGCCTTAAAAGTCGTCCAAAAAATCTGAAAATCTGGGCAGATTTTCAGAATTTTTGGGCTACTTTTAAGGCAATTTTTCGATCGAATCCCTTGGAGTTATAATGAGATTTTGGGTGGTAATTGAAGAGGACATCGTGGGCTTTCCAACGGTATCAAAATTCAACATTCTTTGTTGTCGAAAGTTGTCGAAAATTTGCTGTAAAAGTAACCCAATTATTTAAAAAGATGAGTGGTGAATGAGTAATTATATGAAAAGATGAGTGAGCATTCAGTAATATGTGAAAGATGAGTGAGCAAGTAGTAATCAAGTGTAAAGTTCAATGATTATTGGTTAAATTTACTCTTTCTAAACATGAAGGAGGATGAGATAATGGGTTTTTATATAAATGTATGTAGACTGGGTGGTTTCTGTGTAATTGGGCCAGAGGTTTGGGTAAAAAATCGGCGGTTCTTTTGGATTTTTATTGGGTCAGCGACATAGTTAAAATATTAGGTGGTTCGGATTGGACCATAGTCTGGTTCGATGGTTTCCAGGTTGAATTGACCCATCCGGTCTAGGTTTAATAACTATGGTTGGGGCGTTAAGTAGGGCCCCAAAAAAAGGATAATTGTAACTACGGTCCTAAATATTCTTCTTATTTTACATATTGTACCATAATATTTCATTTGTCACAATCCCAAACCTTTTAAGGAATTAATTTTTCATCTTTATCTTTTTCTTCTCCAAATTTCTAACCTCTACCCCACTATATTTGCAAGAGTTATAGTTATACATACATTTAGTGTACATGAATTTGATGGTTAATATAGAAATGAACAAATCATAACGAGTTAAGGACCCAGAAAAACCATCATTCTACCGCACGAAATCTAGGGCCCTACTCTCCATAAAATATGCCATCATTGATGACACATTGTCCTTTCTGGCCTCCTGGAGCACTTTCACCATCCATTGCACTTGGAAAGGCATCACTTGCAACGCTTTGATCGCGATTTCATCATCATCAGTATATTAAATCTAGGCATCATGTAAACCCTCTTCTCCACCATTGTCCATATAGGTTCTTTCTAGACAAATCACCCTCTCTCCCCTCTCTCTTTGTCATTTACCTACCAATAAAAATATGGACAAGCATAATATTTTCTATATTAAAAATTAAATCATTAAAACACATTTAATTAATAATTTTCATGCACATCCTTATTGTGCTTGAATGGGTTGGTTTATTAACTCTTTCATGACAATTTTATAATTAAGCAATCAAATATTAGGTAAATCTTGATTATTTTTGTTGACAAGGCAATATTTGAAAATTAAATTTAGGAAAAATTATCTAAACCCACTATGTCAGAAAAAGAAAAAGAAATAGGTGGGCGGTGAGAGATTTGGGGAAAAAGAAGGTGAAAAATCAATTCCTTAAAAGGTTTGAGACAGCGGATGACACAAATGCAAAGTTTAAGTATAAAATGCAAAACAAGAAGAAAATTTGAGATCACAGTTGCAATTATCATTTTTTTGTTTTCAAAAAATTGGCCTTATTTAATGCCTCAACTAAAGAACTTCTTTTGCATCGAAAAGGTCATCCAAGAGAGTTTTTCACCAATTTGAAAGGATATAAAATATTCTGCAACAGTGGCAAATGTCAAAGAAATTTTGCACCACTTACCATAATTTATAACATTATTTTCTCATCACAATGGCAAATCATTGAGTTGCATACAATTAAAAGCGTGTCTGATAGGTGATTATAAATAGTTTAATTCATAAATAGATAGAAATAAATGATAAATAATTAAATATTATTTTATGAGCATTACGAAATGTGTGAATAAAATATATATTTGACAAAATGTATAAATTAAACAACTACCAAACAAGGGCTAATTTGGCCCAAAAAAAGTTCAAAGTTTTATTACTACCAATATATTTGAGGAGTGTTTACAAATACTTCCCTTTAGTTTAAAAAGTAAAGTTTTTGTTTGTAAACAATTCAAAAACAAATAAAATTGAATCATATGCTTATAAATAAAGTTAAGCCCCTTTTTAGTGTAAATTAAAATAAGATGTTTAGTAGATTTTTGTAGAAATTAATGAAAATGTAATTGAAAAATTGTTAAACTCATATATATATGATTAAAATTAATTGTTAACTTTGAATTAAAAATTGAGGAAATTGCAAGAAATAGCCATTTTCACTTGATTATTTGCAAAAATGTCCAAAATTTCTTCAATGCCAATTTTGCAATAATTTAAACCAAAATACCCTTATTAACATTTTTAACTCCACACTGAAGACAAAAATTTTCATACAATTTAAAATTGTGTTGGCCAATAAGAATTTGACACATAACCTATACTATTAATTTGAAAAAGTACCATGTCAATTCATACATAAAATGTCCACTTGGTATGTTGAGAACAACACTTTAAATGTCGATAAATGTTTGAAATGTATAGAACTCTAGGAAATGGATTGAAATCTTGTTCTAGATATATGAACTGTCAAGTGTCGAGATAAATAGGGTCCAAATGTGGATAACGACTTTCCAAATGACGAAAACATCATGAAATGTCGAGAACAAATTAGAACTATTCAACGAAAGGACAAGTGACAATAAGATTTAAAAAAAACTTACAACAAATCGATTAGACATAGAAGTTTCCTTATACGATTTTAACGAAAGTTATGTTATAAATCCATGCTGATAATAAATTCAATTTCGCTATTCACGTGACAATCACAAGGTCTACAACCTATAGTGTCAAACAAATGTCAATCAATTGTAAATACATGGAGTGGGAGTTGGTATGTAGTTTTGTAATGCAATTACACTTCATTAACCATGTTTTATACCTCTATACAAGTATGCAAATGAGTTGAAAGACAATGTTCAAATACAATTCTTCATAAAAATTTTCTAAAAGGAAAAGCTTCTTTCAACTTGTCTTCTTCAACTGAAGAAACAACTCGTACCAATATTGTTGCAAACCTCTCCCTGCCCAGGTCTTCGACGGATAATTCAATCATTATCGACTCGGACGATGATGAACAAATACATGCTGATGTTCCCTACATTCCTCAATCCGGGAACCATCGCCGTCAGATGAGTGTTCATCCAATTCCATTTCCTGATTTGGGAAATGAAGGTGAGCCAAGTGACATACAGTTGGTGATCATAATACTGACACTGAGATCATCTCGATCGAAATCCCATCGGATGAACACCATCTTTTATTTGACATTCAACACATCAACGAGTTGGTCAACAATGTTGGATCGGGTTCAAATGTCATCGGAGATGTTGCTATGACGACGATGATGATAGTGATATATTTTTTCTATCAATTGTTGATGACATATAGATGTCTTTGTACATCGTAATTTTGTGACCACTTCAAATAAGAAACTCATTATCATTGTCATGATTTATATTGACGAAATGGTGAAGTTTATGTTGTTTGGTAGTTTACCAACTCTTCAATATGATTTCTCTTTGGTGTTGTTTAGAATTTAGTATGTGGATGTGTAATACCCTTGAAATCGTAGTTTCACAAAATTCATGTTCGAGACTTTAAATTTGAGGTGGATTTGAAATTTCTCGAAATGTAATTATATGATTTTCTTATGAATTTAGGAGTATGTAGATTTTTTTTGATATTTTTTTCCACTTCATCATCTTCAATTCTACTTAAGATCATTGATCATTACCTAATAGATAATGAGAGGACATTTACCCATTAAACATTACCTTGTTATTAATGTAACTTCTCATGGAAGCTATATTAGTCTTTTTAGAAATTTGTGAAACATTGAAAAGACAAAAAAATTTATTTAATTTTCATTGAGGGTATAAAAGATAATTTGATAATAAATTTGGTTATTTTTGCAATAGTTATTAAAATTGGACACTTTTTAATTGTGAAGCATGTAATTGACCATTTTTCAAAATTCCCCAATTAAAATTTTTATCAATTGTTAGCCCTTGCTTGGCTCCCAATTTTTGAAATTAAAATGGAGAAATAGTATTTTTTTGGAGAATGAGTGGTTAAAAATGGAAAAGATTTCTGTTTGCGTATAATATTATTTTATGAAAATTTATGTGATTGAAAATACGATAGAGAAAAATGAAATTTAGCCCCCGTTTGGCCCTCATTATTGCCAAATTTTAATGTTTTGAATAATATGTTTTTTAAAATGTATGATTGAAAAAGAATGAAATTTTTGTTATTTGCGTGTAATATTATTTTATGGAAGATTGTGTGATTGAAAATAAGAGAGAAAAAAAATGAGAATAAGAATGGGGCTAAACGGGAGCTTAATTTAATGGGGCCAAATGGGGGATTAATTTGAACCATATATGTCCTGTTTGATTCCCATTTTTCTCTAAATACATTTTTCTTTTTTCTTTTTTTAATTACATATTTTTTATTAAAATAATATTACACAAAAATCAAAATTTTTTCTAAAATTCATTTTTAGAAAAAAAAAAAAAAATGGGTGTCAAACACCCTGCAAATATTATAAACTTTGCCAAACAACGCACCCTCAACACACCATTGTTAGCCTTGCTAAGGGTGGCCAAGGCGACAGCTGGCGCCGCCAATAAGCTGTCAAAGATCAAGGTAGTGAGGCTCTCCATAGCCCAAGTGCTTACCGTGATTTCTCAGAAGCAGAAGGCCGCTCTCAGGGAAGCTTACAAGAATAAGAAGTACTTACCTCTGGATCTCCGCCCTAAGAAGACCCGCGCCATTCGCAGGCGCCTCACAAAGCACCAGGTACATCCCGTTCCTAAAATACCCCTTTTTATCTTTACGGTGTTAATTATCCTGCTTTTTATTTTTTATTTTTTATTTTTTGGTACTTGGATTTGAGTTTTATATGGTGTTTAAACATTAGATTGATTAATGATCATTTTTTTGCAGTTGAAAGAAATTAATTCTGATTCTCGTTAGTTTTTGATTTAATAATTGGTGTTTCCTAGTCCATCGCATTCTTTGGATACTTAATTCGTGTGAGCATTGACTTTTACCCTGATTATGAAATTGATTGTTCACAAACCAAGGGTAACTGATAAATGGATTATCACAATAAAAGTTGTGTGGATTATTCTCTCTTTGAATTGTTACAATCAATAAATTGACGGGTTAATCTACAATGTTACGTGATTCATGAGTTGTTTGTGGGACTTTTCTCTCACTCTGCTTCATTGCTTCATGGTTTATATAGTTGGTTAGTGTAAGCCTTTTACCTTCCGGATGAGTACTAATCTCAATTGTTATATGATCGCGTTTATATTAATTCTTAAAGGGCTTATCCTAGTCTGGTGCATCCAAAAGATTTGAGTTCCAAATTCTTTTCTGCCGAATGTAATTTTGTGATATCTTCAATATAAGCTGGGACTTCTGTGATATATCCGCATGGTTTGCTGACTGATTGTATCCGTGGAAAATATACACCTTCAAAAATTTTCACTGCAGAACGAATCCTGTTAACCAGCTTTTTTGCTGTAGACTTAGCCCATTAATATCTAGATTTTAATCTAAGTCAAAGTCAACAATTAATTTCAACCACATATTTTATGAGTGCCACAAATTCTCAACTACACATTTCAACAACTTCTATCAAATCTACTAAAAATTTATTTTAATCTCCATCAAACAAGGGATTAGTTTATTAATAACTATTTTACTATATGTAGTCATTTTTCTTGGTCACTTTTGTTGATTTCATGCTCAACCAAGTGAGGATTAAGGAATTAATAAGCATGCCCATGAGGCATGGGCACTCTTACTAGGACAGCTATTCCATGTCCGATACATGTCGTGTTGTGTTGAATCCCAGCATTCTTCGTACACTCAAGGATTTATATCCAATATGCCAAGTGGGTGTGTCCCATTTTTTATATATTTTTTAAATTACCAATACTAAAGGGATACTTTAGTGTCACCCCTTAGGCAAGTGTCCTACATGCCATGCACCGTTTCCTACATAAAATGTTATAGAAATGAAGTTATCATATATGAATTTAAGATTTTAAAGAATTTAAATGAACGTGTCACTGACATGTCTGTGCTGCTTTTTAGAAAAATTGTGTCGGTGTGTCCATTTTCGTGTTCATGTCTATGCAACTTAGATACATGCCTTCTCATGAGAACTTTTAGATATATCTATATGTCCAGCTTGCTTGTTTTAATTTTCGTTGAGAATCCTGGATTTGCAACAAACTACAATTATTTGTATCTGTAGGATCTTCTTGCATAGTGATGTTGACAGATTTAACATATAAATTCTGACCATAGTTTTTAGAAAACTTAAATACAGTTTCTGCTTCTCTTTAAAAAATACAATGTATTCCTGATATGATATAAGAATTATGCAATTTGAGTGAGATTGGAATGTCAGGCCACTGTTAAATTTATCTAGCTCAGAAAAAGATGAGTACACTCTATGTATAATGTTGTGCCTATTACTTAAACATCAATGTTGGCTTCTTGACTTCAACTTTAAAATTTTCAGTTTAGCGTGCTATATGTCTAGCTGTTTTGTTTTGTCTTCTCTTTTTCCTGCTACTGGAATTATCAGTTATAACGTGATTTTAATTTTATCCCCACGTCTCCTTCCTACAATGTGTTCACAGATTTTACATTTCCATCTTTTTAGGCATCTTTGAAGACTGAAAGGGAGAAAAAGAAAGAGATGTACTTCCCATTGAGAAAGTACGCCATCAAAGTTTAAGCTGATTTATGCTGGAAGAGATTTTGGTACTTCATCTTTGTTATCTTGGAGGATTTTTCATGTTGGATGGACTACTAGTTAGGCTGAAATGTTATGGATTGAGATCATTTTTTTCGAGTATCATTATTTCTCCTCAACTAATGATTAGTTAAGTCCTTATTTCACACATGACATGGAATGTGAATGGTTTCTTCCTTTTATCTCGCTTCACTTGTAGGCATTCCCACTATCCAATAGCGATGAGTGGAATGTATTTAATGTGTCCACGTGTAGGTTCTTTTGCACAAGGTTTTTGGCCAGAAGGGGATGTTGCTAATGAGGACCTAACTGGAATATAGTTAACATGCTATTAGATCGTAATATAGGTTGATGGTTTGCAAGGTTTTGTAGTGTATGAAAATGGCAGTGTTATTTGCTCTCCAAAAGCATCTTGTTACATCTTGTTAGTATAGATGTCCAGATTTGTTTTGAGGGTGATCCTACATGTTTTACCATTTTTGTAGTTGCCAGATTGTGTTATGCTGGAGGAAAAGACCCATGTTGCCTCATTTATCATGAGGTTGTTTGTTCGAGTTTCTAAGCTGGTCTATATCTTTAATTTCTACGATTGTCTAATCCTATTTACTGTTACACATTAATGTATACTGGATAGGCAATCACCTAATACTTATTCATTTTTTAGAATTTTACCTGTCTTTTGTTTTTGACATGGCTTAGATTTCCCCTGATAAGTGACTTTCTGATAATGTATTGCCCATCTATTTTGTGAGAGAATGTCATTTTCTTATATTAATTGTGTGGTTTTTTATTGTTGTATTTGGGGACACTGGTCTTGCTTCTACTGATTTGGTCTATTTCATTATATTCCTGTCTTATTTCAGATAGAGTAATTTTATCCAATTTGGAGTTATCTTAGTGTCTTTTGGTTTTCTTGCACACTTTCTGGTCATTCTAGAATTTCGTCTTTGCCTTTCGACCAATCTGTATAGAAAGGCAGATGGGAGAGTTTATAAGCTTTATTTTGCAAAACAACATGTCCGTACAAACTTGAGAGAATCATTCATTAAGGTTGGCCATTGGTATCTCCGTCTCAAGATTTTGTGAGCCAATGAGTACTGCTTAGAATGATTACTGCCTATTCCTTCGTGAACTACTCTCAAGGTATAGTAGGCTTCCTCTTCATCTAGGCATAAGAGAAATGGTACAGCATATCCTTGCTTGTAGAAGAATATTGTTCATTAAGGTATAAATTGCGGCTCTTATTCTTAATTTACTTACCTTTGTACTATCAGACACATCCTACCATCCATTAGAAATTGGATGATGTCACCATCCAGGTCGATTTCGGATATATGGCCACTCAAAGTATTGCATTCCACCCACCTTATTCTTCCTAAGGGGATGCTATCTAGTTCTTTCGCTCCCTCACTAGTAGCCAGCCTAGTTAGAGCGTCTGCATGGTTGTTTCAAAATCTAAGGATTTCCTTGATCTCCACATCGACGAAATTGTTGAACTCCCATTACACTGCTTGAAGATACGACATCATCCTTTCATTTACTAAGTAAGATCCTTTTATTTGGACAATAATGAGTTGTGAGTCATTGTGTGCGACAACTTGGTTGAATTTCATTTTCTTTGCCATTTTAAGTTTAGCTATCAAGGCCTTGTATTGTTGTTAGAGGCTTTAAATTAATATCTTATTGCTTAACGTAGATGATAGCGAACTGTCTCACCAATACTACCTTTGCTCACTCAAGCCTTGATCAAAGATCAATCTAAGAAGAGTACCCAAGGGACCTCATTACGTCGTTGGACCTCTTAAGGGTTCCAAACTAAATTCCATGATGAAGTTTGCGAGTGCTTAGCCTTTAATTGAAGTTTTCAGTCTTTTAATGAGGTTGAAATGATGTTTTCAAGCTCGATCAAGAAACAATCTACGTAGAGTTCCCAAGGGACCTCCTCATGTCGTTGGACCTCTTAACGGCTTCCCGCTAAATTCCATAGTGAAGTTTGCGAGTGCGTAGCCTTTAATTGAAGTTTTCGGTTTTTAAATGAGGTTGAAATGCTCATTTCAATTTCCTATTTTACTAGTCGACTGTAAGTTACCAACTTCTGAGCAGTTGCCGTAAATGGTAAAAGGTAAGTATTTCTATTGTGTGTTCTCGAAAATATGGACTTCAGTTTCTGGAGGACACGACTGAGACATACGCTAGCTTTTCCATTGGGGTGTATCAAAGTTGAGCCTTGTAGAGTGCTTGGATTACGTAGTAGACAGGATGCTAGATTCCATGCTCACCTCTCATAAGCACGATGCTGATTCTGTAGTTGGATATTGCTAAGTAGAAAGATTATTTCCCCAGCTCAATAGCAGTGGTGTGTTGGGACTTTAGGGCTTTGAAGGTTGTCTAACATCTTCCGTCTACTGGAACTGCTCTTTTCCTCGGAACATATCGAAGAATGTTGTATATATTTATCTATTGCTCTCAACATGAAGCAACTAAGAACGACAATCCACACTATTAGGCTCTGCATTTACATTGGTTTTGTTGAGGCCTTCATTTCCTTTATGTTTTTTGAATTTGGTTCGATTGTATCCGAAGAATTTCCCGAGAGTTAATCCCAAATGCACATTTAAGTAGGTTGAGTAGCAAACACTTTGACTATGTGTCGGATGTGTTCCATTGTTTTCGAGCTTTTCACAAACATGTCTACATAGACTTAAAATAGTTTTTCTAATGAAATTGGCAGATATTGCATTCACTTGCTGTTGGCAGGTCGGTCCTTCATTTTTTAGCCCGAATTGTATTACTTTCTAGCGGTACAGACTTCAATATGTGATTTTAGGAGGTATTCCTTTTAACACCCTATTACATGGGGATATATTGTACCTTGAATACGCGTCCATGAAACAGTAGCTTTGTGTCCAGTTATGATGTCCAATGTCTGATCTATTATGGGATGAGGAAGTCATCTTCTGTGCACACTTTTTTCACATTGATGAAACCAATACAGACTCTCCAACCCCCCATTGCTTTTCTTTACCAAAACTAGATTGGCTACCGGCTTAGGATTTAATAAAGTTATTCCTTGGTATTTTTTTCTAGTTCTCCGCATTTTCATATCTTATTAGGTTGAGAGGTTGTCTTCTTCGCTTCTTAGTTCATAGCTCCAAACTGATGTTGAGCATGTGGCATGCGATTTTTGTGTCAGTTCCTTTCAAATCTTCATGACTTCTAGAAAAATGTCCGAGTTATCTCTTAAGAAGATCTTCAACCTAGATCAAAGGGTTCTCGTAGCTCCTGTCCAATTCGCAGATATATTTCTAGATATTCATCACTTACCTTAATTTTGTCTATTTCTTCTACCAATTCAGCCTTCGTTTTGCGAAATCCAACCTGGGTTCCAGAGATGCCAGGTCTTCGTAGGCTATGCATACCTTGAGATAGAAGTCTAGGTTGAAGCTCGTCTGTGAGCACGACAAGAGGTATTCTGTGCAATGGAAGTCTATTCTTTTGTCTTTTTTAACATGAAGAATGAGGCTCCTCGTATTTTCCCTTTCTTATTTGTGATCTGAACTAGCATATTCTTGTCTTATATGCTTCTCAACTCGATTGAGAAATTCATAGTAGAAATTTAGTTTGTCCTCGTTGTGAGGCCTAAGAAGAGCATCCATTAGTGTTGTATCATTAAAAATCTTTCCTTCTCGGAAGATTAGTCCTTCTAAGGCAGTCAGACACGTTGCCCTCCTGTCAGAGACCCTCATCCCTACTTGAAAGTTCACTAGTCCCGTTGGTTCGGCTTTGGGAGGACTCATTCTGAAAATTGCAGATTCTTTCTCAACGACTAGATGCATTAGTAGTTTGGTTTTGCTCTATGTTGTACATAATATTGGTAAGATTCTTCAGAGCCTTCATGAACGTAGTCACTTATGGATCATCTCTTCCTACTGAAGTAAAGTTTTACACCCATAACGTCCTCGAAAATTAAGTGGGATTTCAACATTGTTTCTCCTTGCTCTAGTGCTTATTTTGCTCCTTGAGTCTCTACTTTGATTTATTTTGTTGTGAGGAGGAAAAGCGAGAAATAACCTATCTTATGGAGCCGTCATAGGGGACAAATCACAGTGCAAGAAATGATGAATCTACTAATTTTGCTTTAATGGAATTGTTAATTTCTTTATTAAGCCCTAGTTTGATTCCCATTCTTTGGAGAAAATGAATTCTTCTAAAGTGTGATATAATTTCAACAATATATTCTTCAATAAAATAATATTACACGTAAATTTAGAACTTTTTCTTATTTTTTAAGCAAACATTTCCGATCAATACACTATTCAAAAATTCATTTTTTCTCTCAAAAAGTGGCTCAAACAAGGGCTAAATACGTCTAAACTCAAGTCTTTGGTTCTCCCTCAATGTATGTGTTGGCAGTTCAGACCCTTCTATTTTTTTACCTTGTGGCTCCACTTGGGTGGTCCGGTCCAGCTTGATCTCACGAGGCAAGTTCAGATCTTGGCAACATTCACGAGTTTTTAACAATGGAAATTCATCGAAGAATTAACTCCAAGATGGATGGAATATCAAGAATGTTGGATAGAAAAGTTAAATTTATCATCAAGCTACCATGATATCAAACATCTAGCACAAAAGTTCACATCTTGGATTGAAGGTCAAGGTCCCCAACAATGTGGCAATTTGACGTTGTTTATGCATAATGAAAATGTTTAACAAAGAGATAATGATGCGGTGTCCTTGTAAACTCAATGGTTTCGAGTTAACGGTATAAAAGATAAGGCAATACGGTAGTTAGTTGGATAGTTAGTACTTTGTAATGACGAAAATTTTAAAAATGTGTAGACGTATGCGTTTGCAATAGAAGAAGGTGGTGCACTATTTGATTACTTGGTAAGAGCACTCGAAAATCACCATGACGAGACATTCTTCGTCGGCCACGTCAATAGAGCATATGCTGGAAAGTTCTCAAATCTCATTACATGAAGTGCTTATCTTGTACGAGGCTCAATTGAATAATTAATCTAGTTGTACAAATTTTGTACAAATTACAAAATTTGTTTACAAATTAAGTGTTGACAAGATTTAGGTTATTTATTTTCATTGATTTCAGAAATTGTTTTTGAAATAATTGGAACAGGTTTGCCGACACATAGTTTTTAAATCAAGTTTGTTAGACTAATTTGTA